TCTTGTGTAATAATTTTCTAAGGTATATTAGAACATTTACAATTCTATCAATACATCTATGCATTAAATTTAAACAGCTATGGGCTCAAATCATTAAATGCATTTTAGCTTAAAATCAAACGAAAAAAGCCATGATTTATTTTTATTAGCAACAGACTTTTACATAATGCTTTCCAATATATCAATTTAACTCAGCCATTAAAACCAGGGGAACCATTAATTAAGTATAATGGCCTTAAGTAACATCAAAATGGCATTTATTTGATTTATCGACTTGTATTACTTATTAAATATTTAAGACTAGACAAAACTGAATATGGTGATTATCATGTGACATACTTTAACATTTAACTAAAGCAAAATTAAAGATTAATCTAAAATATATTTCAGTCTTTCCTCTCTCCAAAATATAATAAACTGCTTCGCTGAGCGCAGCTGGATACGCCCGCAGAGGTCCAACCCTGAACAGTCGGGGCAAAAATGCATAAAATATTCAAGCTTGATACAGGTCTGAATTTGGATTGTAATTAAATATTTGACATATTATAGGTTTCTGAATAAATGTAGTCAAAGAACTTGAAATTAGTTATATGAATTGAATTTATATTCAATTAAAGATTTCTTGCTGTTGTGCAATACACTGTGCTGTTGCGCAATACTTAGTAAATCTGTTGTCAGACTATAAACAAATAAAGTTCAATTTCTTCTCAATGTCATATTTGAAATTTATGAAAATCAATAGGGAGATTACATCGATAGCTATTAATAATTCACCAAAGTTTCATGAGAACTGCTGAAAGCATTTTTGAGTTATTGTCCAAAAACTGGAAAATTCCCCTTTTTTAATGAATAAAACCCCATAACTCAGAAATGTAAAATCTAAAATTTATAAAATTCTAAAGGGAGCTTACATCAACAGATATAAACAATGCACCAAAGTTTCATGAGAACTTCTGAAAGCATTTTTTAGTTATTGTCCGAAAACTGGAAAATCACCCTTGTTTTATGAATAAAACCCTGTAACTTGGAAAAGTAAAATCTAAAATTTATAAAAATCCAAAGGGAGCTCATGTCAATAGATATAAACAATTCACCAAAATTTCTTGCAAGTTGGTGAAAGCATTCTTGAGTTATTGTCGGAAAACTGGAAAATCCCCCTTTTTTAATGAATAAAACCCCAAAACTCAGAAACAGTAAATCTGAAATTTATAAAAAAACGAAAGGGAGCTCACGTCAATAGATATAAACAATTCACCAAAGTTTCATGCATATTGGTTAAAGCTTTTTTGAGTTATTGTCCGACATGTTGACGACGGAAGGACGGACAGAAGGACAGACGGACGGACAGACGGTCAACGGTATACTATAATACGTTCCGTAAACGGGCGTATAAAAACAACTATTGTCACTGATATCAATATACTGTCATGTTCAGTTACAAAATTGATGTAAACTAATTAGTAATTACTAATTCTATTTATTTTTTCAAGAGAACAATATGATCTTCTAACTACTGATTTATACAGATTTATTTTCTGCTATTTTGTGTGTTTCATTTTAGTCTGATTTATGATTGTTCAAGGATGTTCTAATCCAATATTCTGAAGGATGAAATGAAATAATAATAAAAAGCATATAGGGAATAAAACCCTTTATTTTAATTTTCAAAACGTGGTAATATATCTGCTTTCGATAAAAACAAATAATATATGATTGAATCTGCTTTTAGTAAGTGAATATCATTTAATCATTGCATGCTGCATTATTTTTTGTGAAGGGGATATTTTATTTATGCCTTTTAGGAAGTGTTTAGGTTATTTAAATATTTCAACACAAAACAATGTTTGGAGTTGGTACTAAAATATAAGTAGGGGCACTTCTAGGATTTGATGTTTAGGGGGGTGCCATTGGTAGGCAATGGGTCTGTCTGATGACCAGTAAGGTTCTCATCAGATCAGGTGTTATGCCCAGTGGGAGACCTGGAAGCTCCTGAGAATTAGTAATTAAAGGACCTTATTTAAAAGCTTACCGCAAAACTATTTCCTTTCAGGAAAATTGTGGAAAACCCTGGAAAAATGCAATTATAGTGCTTTGAAAGAGTCTTTGTACAAAGAGGATTAGTTTCACATGATAAGAGACTGGTGTCATTTGAAAGAAGTCATAGCGCTGTGCAAAATGTCTTTTCACACAAATGGTATACTATCAATACCTATATGTTTGGAAAATAAAGAATTGAAGTGGCAACACGGGAGCGTTTCATTTCAGGACCAGAGTTTCAGGATTATCAGCTGGTTTCTGAAGAGGAACTACCTAATTTCAATGAAATCATTGATATATTTCGTTGCATAATGAACAGAGTTGAACTTGCCTTTGGTTCTTTCAAAAGATTTCCCATTTTTCATCATTAGCTAAAGCTTGCCTTTATAAACACAGATGTGCCTTGCTATGAAAGACTGTTAAAAACTGCTGAATCAGCAGCTGTCATGGAAAACAACCAAAAATCTTACTACATGTTAAATGCCAAAATAAAATATGCAACTTGAATTTATGTTGTTATTACAAATAACAGTAAGTAACCTATGAAATGGCACAGAAAATGGTGCTACACTAAAACATTTGTGTTGGGGGAAGATCTCTCCCTTGGATGTTTTGAAGTTGACACTTACGCTACATAGATCCTTGAAATATGTAACATTTTATTCTGAGTATCTGAAGTCAGCTTTTTAAAGAAAACTTATCAAGCATCAATATTTTGGGGAAAAAACTAAATAAATTTGATAATTCTAGAGGGTAAATCCTCACATAACCAGAGATTGTTCCTAAAATTATGTTGAAATTTTAAGGTTAGAACTCATCTGATTTTGTAACCCTTCACCTATCATTAATACCGTATATAGTGGGTTATTTTTGCGGGTGTAAAATTTCGCGATTTAGGGGCAACAAAGTATACGAAAAATTTTGGCGGTTTTATTTTGGCGGATTCTTTAATCCCAATTAAATATTTTGGCGGATACTGAAATGGTTCTAGTTAAAAAGTTGTAAAAATTGACAAACAAGGGTCTATTGTTATGGTTAAATGATTGTTTTTCCTGCATGAATTTTTTTTATTTATTATATTTTGATACAGTTAATCAATAGAATACCGGTTCATAGTTATTTTTCGAAGGTGTACAAACTTCTTGTAAATGTTACGGTTGATCAGTTACGAAATTGACTGGACCTTTGATGTACTAATTAGATTATAAAACCATCATGAGTGACTTGCAACTCTTATATAATTTGACACTAATTAATTAGGATAAAATACCTAACATCGTACCTTACACTCTTATATTATTATTTATTTTATTGTGTAACCAATAAACTAATTAACCCCTGATAGCCAGTGAACAATGACCATTGGCATTTATGTTGTTTAATTTATCAAAAACTGTGATTGATCCATCGAACGGGGAAAAATAGATAGTTTACAAAACGCTTTAACTTAGAAAGTCTCGAACGATGCAAGAATTTTCGCGGAATTTATTTTTCGCGATTTCACTTGACCCGCCAAAATAAGCGAAAATAAACACCTCGCGAAAATAACCCGCTATACGGTATGCACTATTTTTGGAAGTATCATAGATATCATCTGTTGATATTCAATTGTTTTAGATAAAAAGATTCACAACCAACATTAACTGCCTTTAATCAATATAACTAATATCACTCTATAGTCATGATAATTATATCAATAGATCAATTTTATACAATCAACAGATTTTTTTCATTGTTTTAATACCGTAACTTACTCTTTAAATGAAGACAAATAATCTATAAAGCACTACTCTCACAAATAGGATTCAATCTCACACTTGCATTTATTACACAACCATTGTGAAATCTGTTATGCAAATCTTTTCACATGATCGTTTTTGCATACAAATTAATGTTTAACATTTTAGATACTTAAACATTCCCTTTATAATCAAATACTTTAATTTGATGTACCCTCAGATTATTATGGTCTGTCAAGGTCAGGTAAACATGTTAGACAAATATGTGAACAATAATTCTGCACACCAAATACAACTGAAGTTTTCTTAAAAGTAATAAGATTATCACCTAATCACGAGAACTATGAAAATCAAGTCAAGGTCAGATGGCCCCTGTAAGGATAATAATTTTAAAACACTACAGAGAGACTGCTATATTAGCAAACAAATTCACATCCCCAATTCCCCAATTCTGAAAAGCCAGTTACAAGTAAAGGAGTATTAATCGTACAAAGATCAGAAATACTGATTGACAGAAAGTAAACATCAGTATGCTGATGATTTTACATAACTGAAGAACAAAATACATTTTTCATGTTTGCATAGATAGTTCAGTTCATGTTAAGATATATATGGAATACCCCAAAAATAAATCAAACTTAGCATGTTGTACAGTGATCAATAGCTCAATATTATACCCCTACTCAACAAAATGTGAGGAAAAATATATAACAATATTTTCAAGATAGAAGAATTTGGCAAAAGTAGAACATTAAAGGAACTGAAAATGTGTCACAGGGTATGGCATAAGCAGATGAAGTATGGTGCCATACATCAAGAAACTTGTAGTTGCTGATAAAAAGGAGAACAAATTTCAAATGTGTACATAATGCTTAAATGATACAAATTTTTGGCAAAAAGGAAATAGTATATTCAAGGAACTGAAAACATGTCATGAGTATATCCTCACCATATGATGAATAGTGCCATTGATCAAACACCTATTAAACCTATGAATTGTGACAGATATCTGATCACACAGATGGATAGACAGAAGTAAACAAGTATACCTCTCCTTTGAAATAGGGAATACCAGGAATTAAACAATTCTATTTCAAAGTCTCAGGATAGATGGACAAGCAGACAGATAAACAAAGAGAAGGCTTGACAGTTCATTGGAAGAATAGAAAAAATACAGTGTCTTATGACTCTCACTAAATTTGCATAAAAAATATTTATTGGTACCTTTTCTGAATTATTAAACATCATAGTAACAGTGCCATCAGATTCATCAGTTTGTTCTCCAGGTATGTATAGATGGCGCTGGAATGGTTTGATGATGCAATTTCTGGGCAGGTTAAAATCTAGTAGCGCTGGAGGCATTGGTATCAAGAACACATTTGTTAAAATTCCTGAAATAGATAATTTTGATACATTTGTTAGTTAAACAATTGTGGTCCATCAGGCATGTAAATTCATCTTTGATTGCAAATCTCTATAATATAGATTTTTACTGAAATTAGGTTTGATGCAGAAATGGAATTTATTGCATTGGTTGCAATGAATTACATAGATTTCCCAGTGAAATAAAAACCAATAATTTCATATGTGAAATAAAAACCAATAATTTCAAATGTAAAATAAACGTGGTTATTTCATGTGTGAAATAAACGTGGTTATTTCATATGTGAAATAAACGTGGTTATTTCATATGTGAAATAAACGTGGTTATTTCATTCCTCTGACATCATACAACAACAGGCTTTGTCAAGACGTCAGATCAAAACAAATTGTGAATGCGTAGAAAAAGATATATACTATAGCTCCCTACATTTTCTACTTAAATTTCATTAAAAACAAAGCCAAGGCCATAAAAAAGAATAGGTTGGTTTGCCCTAACCCGACCGACCCATAAAAAAGCACCCGAGTCAAAATCTTTTTTTATTCAAAATTCACGATGTTTTTTTTTTGCGGAGTTTTGTCGTATCCGTATCCGTCTTGAGTTTGTTGCATAGAATAACCTGATCCGATCTGACCGCGCTTTATCAAAGGACACTTTGTGTTATGTATTAAAGCCTCCAATTGATACGGATGAAAACCAACATGTTACCGTCTAGTACAAATAAGATTGGATTAAAATCAAAACCTGTAGTTTCCAACATTTCTATCGTTTTGAAAACGCAAAAACATGGAAAGAGGTGTTTGATAAAGTGTGTGATCATCACTCTGTGATGACGAATTCATGCTACGGAAAACTGATGAAATTTGTGTGATTGTCTCTGACCGATCGGGACACTCGTTTGAGCCCGATTTTGAGGAACCAATCCAAGTTGTTCAGGAATTTGATTCGGCATTAAAATTTGATTAAAATGATATTATTCTGACAGAAGTTCTGTCAACAGTGTTTTGTTCAAGTGTTTTGTAATTTGAATTTTGTATTCAAATAAACTTCTTCCATTCTTCTTCTTAGTATGAGCCTCCTTAAATTAGGAGACCCTCCAAATATATGGAGTTTTTCCTTAACTTTAAAATTTTAAAGAATAAAAAAAAAAAAAGTTTTTTCCAACATATGTACAGCACATATAAATATAAAACAATAAAAGTATCATGCATGGCATATTTACAGGGACCTTTTTATTAATTATTTAATTTCATTTTCATAGCTTTTAATATTTGTCCAGAGCTTCTTTACATTTCTTACAATTGTTATATGACAGACTCTGTGTCAGTATATATATGTCACTTATGATAATCACTATTTTCATTTGGTTGTTATTTCCTCCATTTTGAGATATATATGTATATATATATATACGTATATGCAAAATATGTCTTGCTATTTGTGGGGCCTCGGTGGCCGAGTGGTCTAAGTAGTTACTACTGTAATCACTAGCCAGTCAACACTGAGGTTGTGAGTTCGAACCCCGCTCCTGCGGGTGCACTCGACTCCAATCTTAATTGACTAGGATGGTCAGTTTTCCTATCGAAGGTCAGTGGTTTTCTCTGGCACTCCGGCTTCCTCCACCAATAAAAACTGGCCGCCACGAAATAGCCCAAAAGCAGTGCTTAAAAGCGGCGTTAAAACACCAAAAATCAAAAATCAATCTTGCTATTTGTTGTCCATAATTTTCAATCTTTCTATATGCATTTGGAATAACATATTTCTGGTTTTGTTTTTAATATTTTCCTGGAATTTTGCACAGTTATTAAAAGGCTCCTTATATTTGAACAGTGTATAAGCAATTGTATAAGCAGTTTTGTTTGTGAAGGTGCAGTTCCATTTTGTTGGTGTGATTTTATCAGTGATCTCTTATTTCAGGGAAATATTTTTCTCTCGTACATGTAGTACTGAGTATAAACTCATTTAAAATGTTTGTCTGTATTTACAATGTAAACATTCAGAAAAAAGTGTGAACATTGAGGTGGAATGCTGGGAAAAAAACTGTTAATAGAAAAGATCTTATAGTACAAAATTATAGATCCTGGCATATATGTGTCTGACAATTTATACAAAACTCTATAATAGTCTTTCATTTTAAAAGTTGTTTACAAGGTAAAATAATTTTTCCCCCTATTTTTCTCTAAAAGTAAAAAAAAAAGAATTTCCCTATCTACCTACCCACACCTGAGACTGGTGGGTAGGGTTTGGGCAAACAGAAATATTTTAAAGTCTGGCCCAATTGCCAATGTAATAAAAAGAATAACTAATCAAAGAATTCAAATATCGAAAAATATTTGAATTCTTCGATTAGTTATTCTATAATTATTTGATTGAACAAATATTTAATAGTTATGTTATGATTTTCTTAAAGAATTTTAAGTATTGCTATTGATTCAAATCTGATTAAACCATCAGGGGAGATAAGTCAGATAATTTTGCACTATAAAACAATGTACAGTAAAGTAACTAATTTGTTATGTAGCACAAAAACCAGTACAGTGATCCCAATTTTTCATTACTATCATGATTCAAATCTTCCATATTTTATCCTTGTCTCCTATTACTAGTATAATCTAGAAATTTTGCACCGTATCTATTTAGTCTTCCTAATCTTTATCATATGAAATTTTCTTACATTAAGCATTTCATTAAACCTTATGACTGATATTTTGTACATTATACTATTAATAATTTTTTACCTTTATGATCCAAGGTTTTTGTACACTGTCCACTGAAAACATCCCAGATTTTTACATTACAATCATCAGCGCCAGATATCAATTGACTACCATTGATAGACACACACAAACATGTCACTTGTTTTCTGTGGAGAGAAAACAAATAAAATTAGCTTTATTAATAGTAACTAACAAGTCACTTGTTTTCTGTTGAGAGAAAAAAATAAAATTCGTTATTAATAGTAACAAACAAGTCACTTGTTTTCAAAAAAAATTTTAATGACTGTATGGAATGGGTTTTTCTCAATGTTGAAGGGTGTAAGGTGGCCTATACTTGCTTTTTATCTCTGTCATTTACACTCTGATTGATAATTGTGTCATTGGCAAAAATACATGTATCTTTTTATTTTTATATCAAAAGTAATGTGACAATGAGTAGGTCCCCTGCAGGTCCTTTAACTTATAGTGACAGGTTGTAAATGTCAATATGGAAAAAACAAGGTTTTCAAATGCAATAAATGTAAACTTCAATTATCGATTGTGGCCAACCACTACACATAGTGGCAGGCTACACATAGTGGTAGATAGTGACATGTAGAGTCTCGAATCCTAAATTTACTATATTATGTAAATAAAACATAAAAGTATGATACATTACACAAAATATTCTTTTGCAGTAGTTCAAGTAATGTCTTTTGATTCCTTAAAATTGTCATGTACATGTAGTTTTGACCCTAGCATGTAAAATTTACTTACTTGTGACCTTCAAAACATGCTATGTCTTCCGATTCTTTTTCTATGTGTCTATCTTTTTGTACTGGCTATAGACAAAAATAAATGATTGAACACCATTAAAGTTAAATTTCATCATGCAGTTAACATGTCTGGTATAATGCAACTTTGTTTTATATATACTTTCAAAATAGAAATATGTGAAGTCCAATTTCTTTTCTATTCAGCATAAAGTTCAACATAATGTTATTTGTGTAAACTGTAAAATTTAAAGAAAATCAAAATCCTGATAATATGCACACCCATAGTATTATACTTTTACTAACATCCTGCATGATATAAAAGTTTTAGCTTAAAAAACTGAAAGAGGAATTAGCGGGAAAAACCATTTACCCTAAGTTTGGATTGTAGGTCAGAAAGAAGGACTAAAGGAGCAAAACAATATGCTTACAACATTTTGTTATGGGGTATACAAACAAGTGTGCCACTTGTTTAACATAACATTTTTCAATATAAAAATATTACCATTTCAAACATCTCAATACAGTGAATGACTCCATTGCTTCCACCAGCAAACAAACGATATTCTGCTGTGTCCATGGTAACAGATGTGATACTGACATCAAATACAAGGTTACAAAGTAGATCACCACTGACAAGGTCATACATCTGTGCAAGGAAAGAGATAAATGTCAAGTACAATATGCAATACCACTTTAAAGACTGCATATATATATGATGCAGTTTACTGAATGTCATACCAAGAATGTAACTTTGTTACTGTGTATATTCAAAAAGCTTTGTATTTTAACCAAACCAAATAACCAAAAAATGTATTATCTCATTAATCACATATCTAGATACCGGTATTTTGCCTCAATAATCAAATATTTAAATATTTTGCTGAGCTACTGTGGACATCAATTTTCACTGGTTTCGTGGGTACAGGTGAACCAAGAATTCAAATGTTCAACAAACTATAAATTTCCTACAGGCTTTGTACGCATAGAAATCAAATATCAAAGAAAATGTAAGATTTCCTCAATCCACGAAAATTGACACCCATGAAAATAAATGATTCCATAGTACCACATAATTATTGATAGTATGACATTTTAATCACATATCAAAATGTCATGCTACCCTTATATAGCTTTTACTTGTATTTATAATTTTTGTAAATCAATGGCAATTATTCAAAACATGCATGAAATAATTGCAACTGAATATTAAGCAAACATTGATCTATCAACCTATTATCTTAAATGTTTTTTAACATCATTGATTTTGCCTCTATAAAACTACCTTGCAAGTTTGATCCAGGGAAGATGATACAACTCTAGCTCGGTTTCCACCTGAACCTATAAATAGGTCTGTGACAGGAAGTGAATGATGGGACCACACATGGTCTGGTTCAACTTGATGACTAGGGTTACCACAGTCAGCTAAAACTCTGAAATATATTAAAATTGTATTACAAGGAATTCAGTAATCCTAAAATAGCTACGGCTTAAGTAATTTAAATAATCTTAAAAGCACATGTCATAACTAAACATTGAAGCTACATGTAGCAAATTGTGTTAGAAAAGAACATAAACCACAAAGGTCAAAGAATATTTTTTTCACACTATTGGACTAAAAATAAATAATACTTTTTTTCATATACTCTGCACTGGAATGTTTATAAAGTTAATGAAAAATTAGTGTAATATTTGTAAACCTGGGTATTCAGTGTAAAGCTACTTCATTTTAAGCCTATAAGTGACAGACTAACTCTGACTTAAACTGGATATCTACAGTTGTTGAAATATAGATTGCATCCTATTCTAATAACTTGATACTTTGTATCAACATTTTGTTGCTTAACCCTTTATTTGTGAATTCAGTCCCATTCTTTAAAATATTCATGATTTCCATTTTAAACCTTGGTGAAGAAATGTAAAATCTTTTATTTTGTTTATACTTTGCCAAAGTCCAAGCTATGACTAAATTGTCATTGCCAGGACCTTGGTGAAGAAATCTAAGATTCCTTTAATAGGTTCATACTTTGCCAATGTCCAAGCTATGACTAAATTGTCATCCCCAGCAGTAACAAAACAAGTTCCATCATCTGTACATTTAATACATTTAATTTGTTGATAATGACGACTCAGCACTGTCAATAAATGTCCTGTACACACCTATAAATATAAAATTCAGTTTAACTCACAATTATTAGTCAGACTTATCAAATTCCTTATAAGAAATTTGAAAATCGAATTTTGATGTTATTTTGTTCACTTTAAACTCTATAAATATTGTAAATTCATACATTTCTGCATTTTATTTATTATTCATGTTAAATTACGAAAATTTCTTTTGAAATATAAAATGTAGAAACCTGCCAAATGTGAATGTTTTCTGACACTGCAGCTATACAATAATGTCCATCTGGTGTTGTTGTAAGGGAGGTTACTCTGCCAGGACAAACAATCTGCATTTGTGTGTTATCCTGTAAATAGAGGTTTATTCAAAACATTTTTTCTATCATACAAAAACAAATCTGTGACAAACTTGAAGGAATGTTTGTCTATTTTTCAGCCAATTATGAAAGAGAATGATAAGTGAGTGAACTTGAGACTTAGTAATTGCTTGCCCAGTTGTTTTTCTTACTGCAACCCCTGAAGCAATGTTGACAGTAACACCTTGTGTATACAGGTATAGATAAAAACAAAACAAAAATGTAACACCTTAATTTTTTACTAGGCCTTAGATGTGAATAAAAAATTTCCTGGATATATACATAGTACTGAGTGACAACAAAAATTAAATTTGATGTTCAAATTACTGAAGAAATCAAACATTCCACCGATTTGTTATATACCAAGTCTATGATATATCTAATCCTCAAAAATTGGCAACTATGTATCAAATTACTGCTAGATATTTTTCAAAGGCTAATTATTATAACAATAACAAAATCTATTACATGCTTAGTCTTAATTCTTACTGTTTTCTGAAGAGACCAGACTTGAATGACAGACTTTGTTGGTAAAGCCCCAAGAAGATATTCATTGCTAAGTATAGATAGTGTATGTGGTGCTGATGTACTGCCTTTAAATGTCAACAAACTGGTTCCTGCCACTGGGTCCCATATACTGGAATTCCACTGCTGTCCCGCTGCATCACTTGTGACCAATACCTTGAACAGAATTGTCATGTCTTAAAAAGAACAGATTGAAGCATATAACCCCATCCACCAAGGAATATAACTAGAGGCTCTAAAGAGCTGGTGTCACTCACCTTGGTCAATGTGCATATTCAACAAAGGACACTCTCCTACAATGACGAGGAGAATATAATTCATGATCAAACTCTGTTTTGATTATCTTGTATTGCTAATCATTTAGTCTGTATAGCTTCTCTATCTTCTTTAGTTTTGCTCAAACCACAAAAGAGGGTAAACAAATCCTCATTTAAGGGCACTCACTCCTATAAAGAGTGACAGACAGTCTACTAGCTGTATCAGCAAAATTTGACTTGTTAGTAGATCTTGCTTTGCTGATTATTTTTGTGATTTTAAGTGTCTATTTGTCTATTATAATTTTTATCACAAGGCAAACACAAAATAAACTGTTATCACAAAGATAGGCTCTCCTTTTTGTAATTTTGAAAATGCAAGTGTTAAAATCAAAATAGCAATACTTTAACATGTATTACCAATGTTTTTTCAACTGATCAGGCGGAGCTTACATATTAGTTTGCACAAGGACATATAGTGTTTCCCCTATCACACAAAAAGGGCATGGTAACTTAATTGAAAAAGGACATCTAGAGTGCGCAAAAATTTATAAAAAGGGCACCTACAGTGTATGGAAAATTAACAAAAGGGCACCTACAGTATGCTGAAAACAAGAAAGGCAATAAATTGTCATATTGCATTGGTAAAGTATGGACTTGCAGGTGTTGATGGAATCAGAACTCAAGATAGCAAGTGTATTGTTCCAAAATAATATTGTATATGCATCTTTAAATAAAGATGAAAATCAACATTATTTCGGGTAACAGCAAGGGACCAAGGATGTATGTATATTACTAGCTATACATCTTTGTCAGACTTTGAAGGACTAGGGCATAAATTTACTAGGCAGTAATTACATGATTTGACTGATGTGGCACTTAAATATGAAGATTAGGATATAAGATCTGAAAATCTAGTTCAAATTTCACTTCAATTAGTTTCAGGGGACAGTTCTGATCAACAAAAGTTGGGCCCCATTTTTTAAAACCAGGATTCACAGTATAAATGAACTTGTAGAACTTTGTAAGACTATTACACTGCATAATCATTATCCTTATAAAATGTTTAGATCGATATTTAGAATTCATTTCTATAAGTCTATTTGAAGATGTGTGTGATAAGGATCATTACCGTTATAGTTATTATTATTGATTTCTAATCACCTATCAGCACAATCAGTGTCACCAAACAGATATACAAAAGAACTGAGTGTACGATACCGGACAAATAAAATAGTTAAAAATTCATAACATTTATAGTTGATACGGCAGAGTATTCAAAAATATCGGCTATTGTATTATTCTATTTGAATACTTTCTGAGTGTGAGAATTATTCTAAACATGATTTATAAAAAATAATATTATTAAATTTAAAATATAAAATATTTAAACCCTGATTTTGATGCCTTAAATATCATCATATCATTCTATTTGCAACAAGCCCAGTCCAATCCCCCCCCCCCCAAAAAAAAAACAAAAAACAAAAATGCATTTTGAACATAAGTGAGAAAAAACTTTATCAAAACGTTATAAAATATGCATATTTTGCAACTGCCGATGTCATCGTTTTACTTTAAATTCCAAAATGTGACAATTTTTCACACGTTTTTGAACTACATTTTATAAGAAAATCAACAGCTGTGTCTCATTATTTATTTTGCAAATACACAAATAAGTATATAGTGTTTACATTTTTAAACTGGATCAATGACCATTACTCAACACTTCGTTGATGAGTTTACCCCAAAACAGCCATCTACATGTATAGATGGACTGGTCTATGATGAGCAAACCGGTTAAACTCTGCCCAGTCAAGTGAAATAAATAATGTAATAAGTTATGCAAATATTTAACATCTATGAATCATGATGAGGGGGTGGGGGCTATATAATCTCCATGGAAACGATACTTATAATGCCAATAAATTTGCATACCAAATATCATTGAATTAACATTAGCAGTTCATTTTAAACTGATCAAATCACAATCTAATACATGTTAACTTAGCAAAAGTTTCAAAGTTTTCAATAGACCATGGCTGAGGGGGTGAGGCCAAATATTCTTCATGGAAATGAGATGTGCTAATGCTTATACAACTAAATACTAATTAACATTGGCTTACCACTAATGGTTCCCCATAAACTGACCTAATCACAAACTAATATATGTATGTAAACTAAGCAAAAGTTTCAAAGTCAATAGACCCCTACTGAGGGGACAGGGCCAAATAATCTCCATGAAAATAAGATGTGTCAATGCTAATACAACTGCATACCAACATGACCAAATATCATTGACCTATCACTTGTGTTTCACTAAAAACTAGACCTAATCACAAAACTAATACATTGTTGCTGCTGCCGTCACTGCCATCGCTGACACCCGAAACAGCATACATGTTTGTACCTATGTAAATGGTAAAAATCTTCATTAAGGGGCAATACCTCTGATAAGGAGTCTTCAGACAATTTCCTAAATTGCATTTTTGTTTATTTAAGATATGTCTCAAAAAGGCAAATATTTGATAACAAGCATTCTGAGAGTATTGCATGGCAATACATAGTCCCCTACCGGATAAAAATTCGTTTTACTGGAACAAAATGCTAACTTGTTCTATAACTTGTCATGGTGTAAACAAAAAGTAAATATCATGTCAATATCTTCAAGCATGAATAAAAACAGTGTGGAAAACTGATTATTTGAGTGAAAAAAACATTAGATATGGTTAATAGTTCTCTAAAATTAGATATGATGTAATACAGTGTATATCTATTTTCAAATTATAATCAAATATAATTAATAGTTCCAAATATTTTTTCTTTCATTTGTCACAAACTAATATAGATTTGTAACTTATCTATAAAATGTCAACAACATTTATCTACACAATGTAATGTATTGAAATATATACATTAATAAAAATAGATTATTATCTAATTAAAGAATTTTTCTTCATAAATTTTTCTGTATATATATATAGCATTCAGAAAATTAGTTTATACTAAATAACAAACAAACCTGCTAAAAAGTTCTTCAAATAATTTAACAAGGAATGTCTTTTAAAAAATGAGTTATCTCCCTTTGTACAGAAATATGGTTTAACATAGTACTCTAACATTAGATATGGTCCAGAGTTATGGTCCATAACTCTGGACTAAATTATCAGACCGGAACAAAATTTGAACTTGATCTGTAACTTGTCATGATAAAACAATATACCAAAAATCAAATCAATATCTTCAAGCATGAAGAAAAAAAGTGTGGAAAGCTGATTTGCCGGACTGACAGAAGGACAGACAGACGGACAGACAGACATACGAACGGAGTGCAAACCTAAAGTCCCCTTCGACTTCATCGGTAGGGGACTAATAAACTGTTATCACAGAGATATGTCTTGCCTTTCTGTAATTTTGATAATGCAAATGTTGAAATTAAAATAGCAATACTATAACATGTAAGTTATGGAAATATTCAAAGTTGATGAACCATGAATGAAGGTACATGGCTGAACAATCTCCATAGAAATGAGATGTGCCAATGTTAATACAACTGCATACCAAATACCATTTACTTATCATAAATTATTCCTTTTAACAAACCTAAACTTAAACATTAACTTGTAAGCTATGTAAAAGTTTCAAAGTCAATGAACCATGATGAGGAGGTGGGGCTTTAAAATCTCCATGGAAATAAGACTTGCAAATGCCAATAAATTTGCAAACCAAATATTATTGACTTAACATTGGCAGTTCATCTTAAACTGATCTAATCACAAACTAATACATATAAACTAAGCAAATGTTTCAAAGACAGTAGACCATAACTGAGGGGGGCAGGCCAAATATTCTTCATGTGAACCATGAATGAAGGTACATGGCTAAACAATCTCCATAGAAATGAGATGTGCCAATGTTAATACAACTGCATACCAAATACCATTTACTTATCATAAATTATTCCTTTTAACAAACCTAAACTTAAACATTAACTTGTACAGCTATGTAAAAGTTTCAAAGTCAATGAACCATGATGAGGAGGTGGGGCTTTAAAATCTCCATGGAAATAAGACTTGCAAATGCCAATAAATTTGCAAACCAAATATCATTGACTTAACATTGGCAGTTCATCTTAAACTGATCTAATCACAAACTAATACATATAAACTAAGCAAATGTTTCAGACAGTAGAACATGACTGAGGGGGGCAAGGCCAAATATTCTCCATGGAAATGAGCCGTGCTAATGCTTATACAACTGCATACCAAATATCGTTGACCTACCACTAGTGATTCCCAATAAACTGACCTAATCACACACTAATACATGTAAACTAAGCAAAATTTTGAAAGTCAATAGACTATGACTAAGCAGTCAAGGGTGTAACTTAAACAAGTTATTAGAGAAAAATAACATCCATTTGTTAGGGATCATAGATTTATTCTTACGAGGAAGCTCCGAGCATGCTCGGAGGATGCTCGGAGCTTTTTAAGTAGGCTCTTCTCAGCAGTTAATGTGACAATAATTATCATGAACCATTAAGATGTCAATCAAATCTACACCACTTCTATGATAAGGAAAGTAGAGCATTATAGAGGAAGCTCCATTAACACCTGTGTAAACATCTGGTCTATTCAAATACATTTTGCATGAAATTTTACAAAACTATAGAATAGATTAGAAATTCTTCAACAGTGCTGTGTAATGCTTGGAAAGAAATCTCAAGTCTCCACAAAAAGTAAAAGTCATTGAAATATTTTCTTATTATATTTAATAATCATTCCTTTTTTTATAATAAAAAAATTCTCAAATTTTATAATTAGATGATATGATTTAATCAAAGAGCTGAAAGCTCTGAGGAAAAATGACGCCACTGTCTCTAATATTGTGATATTTTTTATGCAA